TTTAAAACAATGTAAACTTTAGAAGCTTATATTTTAGTGTATTTTTGTAGCTTTCCATAATACTAGGTCTTATTACACTTTTATATGGAAGGGATCAAATAAAAATTATGGTGAATTAAACCAATCTTTTCCATTAGGTGAATTGAAAATTAAACTATTTTAAATGGTTTGTTGTATTTGTGAAGCAAAAATTCAAATATCATTATCAGTCCTAACAGCATGGCATTTTAACTATAATGGCTGATGTGGTTCAGTGGAATTATTTTTCATTTCTACATAGAATATTTCAAGTAAAAGTTTTCTTCTTATAAACAGTTTTTGTTGACAGTTTATATAGTCATTAAGAAATGTTTTTTCTGTTTTTACTCTTAGGAAAAATTTATTCAAGGGGAAGAGGCTTAATATTTTTGACATTGAAACATTTTCTGAAAAAGCACCTGAAACAGGTTTGTTAAGAAGTAAACAGCAAAAATAAATTAATTAATTTTTTAAAAAATGAACATTTTTGTCTTTCAAAGATGTTCTTTGAATTTTGATTACATAATAGTTGGTACTTTAATATTCTCTCCTGTCATTTTTCTGGATCATGCTTTTGAATGTATGCTTATGAATGTAGTTGTTGACACTACTAGTTTTGGTCAGATTTCCCCCTTTTTTTAAAACAGCACATTCTGTGGGGCCATGGAAAGGAAGTTGGTTCTACCAGTTGAACAATCAGAGATTTGGATTGACTACTGGTATCAGTTAAATCATTAATCAGCACCCATTATTTGCAATGCAACTCTGTGCTCTTACATTAAAAAAAAAAAAAAAAAGAGTTGCGATTCTTGCTTTTGGGCAACTTACTATCTAAAAGTGGAGATCACATTTATAGAAGTAACTTTCTGAAATGAGGTAGTGACTGTTCAAGAGATGAAAAGAACATACATTCAGGGAATATATGTAGCAGACTTTTTTTGTTTGTTTTTGTAGTTCTAGATGGGGATTATACCTTTATTTTATTTATTTTTGTATGCAATGCTAAGAATAGAATCCAGTGCCTCACACATGCTATGGAAGCAGTCCGCCACTGAGCCCCAGCCCCGTATTTTTTCTTAAAACTTGGTTAGTCTTTGTTCTGTGCTTGCCCTTTTCTTTGAGTAAGATGTCAAAGCCTTCAAATTCTCCATTTTAAATCTAATCAAAAGAAATAATTAAATTTGGTTTCATGATGAAATTAATTTTTAAACACTCAATAAAAGTTGTTTCCTGCTTATGAACATGGATCTTGGAGAAGTAATGTATATGAAGTTAGGTTCTCTAGGCCAACCTCCAATGGTGTATCTAATCTTACTACCACTTACTTATATAAACATCTGATTTTCCCACTATTCAGTCAACATGATTTTGGGGGCTAGATCTCACTCATGTTTGTATACCCTGTATTACCTAGCCATGTGGTTTATAGATATTAGGAATTATCTTAAATTGTAAATCCTGCACAATCATGGTGGCACAAACCTATAATCCAATCTA